ACACAGACCAAACGAGAGACAAGACAGAATTCAGAGAGACTTGGGTGGCTCAGGTCAAGCCAGACCACTGATTCCTCGTCTTTCTTTCCTATCATCTGCCTTATGATCTATGGAGGGAAGGTCACATCCCCTGACGTTTCTCTCTTCCTTTCTTCCGGGCGACTTGGCCTGTCCCTCATTCTCTCCTGAATCCTCTTTTTTTTTTTTTTTGCACCCGTTTGCCTTTCTTTGTGCAATCGTTTTTGGGACTGCCTTTTAAATGGCATGCGTCGTTGGGATGCATGGCCTCCGCTGAATGAAATAGGACCACGGGTTTGAAATGGAGGGGACTTGTTTTGGGGACCCAACTCGCCAGCCATGATAGGGGTAAAGGTAAAGGTTCCCCTTGACTTTTAGTCCAGTCGCGTCTGACTCTAGGGTACGGTGCTCATCCCCGTTTCCAAGCCATAGAGCCAGAAGCCACTGGCAATGGTGCGGCTAAAAAATATTGTAAATAAATAAATAAATAATAAATATTTTGTCCGTAGACAGTTTTCCGTGGTCACGTGGTCAGCACAACCAGACACGGAACACCGCGACCTTCCCACTGAGGTAGTACCTATTTATCTACTTAACCCGCAGCGCCACCACGCCCCACCATGATATGGGAGTAGCATACGAAATGATGCCTGGTTTGGAGAAAGTCACCAGGGAACATTTTCTACTCCCTTTCTCCTAATATACTGTGTTCAGCCAGCTGAAGGCGAAAAGCTGTCTTCTTACCAGAGGTCCCAGGGGCCAAACTGAGATTTTCTCCAAGCAGAGGTGCTCCTCTGCAAGAGGTACTTTTGGAACTACAGCAAAGATGATGCCCCCCCCCGTCTCGCAGTATCCGTGAGCCCTCTCCCCACTTCATCTGTAACCCACAACTGGAATTTGAATGGGGGGAGCGACAGGTGCCCATCAGGCTGACACCAGGTGGCCCAAGAGTCAAACACGGCATCTCTAGCAAATGAAGAGGATCTTCTCTGCAAGCTTTCCTAACTTCCCAGGGCCAAATTTCTGTCAGGGAGGGGCTCCCCCCCCAAAAAAAATCAGTTGTGTGGCTTCCCATTCATGCTCTGGCTTGGTAGCAGTTGTTCTATATTTATTTAAACCAATTTAAAGATAAACCAGGATAAAGAGGAAGACCAAATACAAGAGGGAGTGATGGCACATGACAACAACATGGCTAATCAGTTTCACAGGCTGCTCCCCAAACATCTTCTATTCCTACAGACTAGACTACTGCAGTGTCTCCAAGAGGGGCCGCCCAAGAAACTTTGCAAACTGCAACAAGCATGGAATTGGGCTGCCAGAATGATGGCGGGAGTTTAGTACACAGACCATATTACTACCTGGTGTGTATGATCTACGTCACCTGACTACTTGGTTCCTGGACCCATTTAAAATTCCTGGTTCCAGGTTTTAAGGATGCCATGTTTAGCAACCAGGTGCTATCCTGATATGATCCACCAGTGGTTCCCAATCTTGGGTCACCCAGACGTTCTTGGACTGCAACGCCCAGAAACTTTGGCCAGCACAGCTGGTGGTGAAGGCTTCTGGGAGTTGCAGTCCAAGGACACCTGGGTTTGACCAAGGGGGGGGAGATCCATGACTCCTCCTCTCACCTCTGGCAAGCCCAGGAATTGCATCATCATCATCATCATCATCATCATCACCTGGAGAATACTTTGCTGGGCAAGTTTGCCTTGATAGTTTTGCCCATTTCTTGAAGGACCTCCAGGTCCCGGCAGAGCATGCCCATGAGCAGAGGGATGCTCACCCTGCTTGACAGTCTGCCAGCAAGACCCTGTAGGGCAGCAAGCTGTGGGTACAGGGTTGATTTTTAGAATTCTCTAATATCCATTTGTGGATACCGGAAACCCCTCTTCTGCATGTCCAGTTATTCTGGAAGCCAATTTGTAACGACGAACTCTCCCTTGGCTGTCGTACTAGAACCACGGGACACCGGCCAAGGGAAAAGCTGTGTAGAAAGTTCAGGATAGACTGAAGAAAGGCCTTCATCACCCCAACCCTACAGCTAAGGCATGGAGCCCACAACCAAAGGGGAAGAGGGACATAAATTCCTGGAGGTCTGCAAACACCCATCAGCGAGGTTGCCTCTAAGCTGATTGCACGGGACCTTCCCCTCCCTCCATGGAGCTTTCTGCCTCCTCCGCGCAGCAATTTCATTTAACTCATTTGGTTCTGGTTGCGACAGAACCCTGCACACGGGTGGAGGGGCAGAGGCACACGCATGTAGGGGTGAAGTCACATGAGAGAGAGGGCGAGAAAGGGAGCCCCACCCCAGCGGAACAGAAAATTACAGGGCACGTGGCCTATTAGGCATAAAATGAAGTCTTCCACTTGATGGGCAGCTTCCCAATCCAAGGATTCTCTAAGCAGGAGTAAAACACCAGAGGAGAAGAATCCTAGAATCGCGGAGCCAGAAGGGGCCTCGAAGGCCATCAAGCCCAACCCCCTTGCTCAAGGCAGGAACACGAATCAACGCAGATCGGACAGACGGTGGTCCAACTTTCTCTCAAATGCCTCCCGAGTCGAAAAGCTCACCACCTCCTGAGGTCAGGGGTTTCATGGTTGTACTCCTCTAACAGTTAAGAACTTTTTCCCTGATTTTCAGCCTAAATCTGGCTCCCTTTAGCTTGAGCCCATTCTTACATGTCCCGCACTCCGGGACAATCAAAAACAGATCCTGCCCTTCCTCTGTAGGACTACCATTCAAATATTTGAAAGGTGCTGTCCTCTCTCCCGTCTGTCTTCTTTTCTCCAAGCTAAACGGGCCCAGTTCTTTCCTTCTTTCCTGGTTTTCAGTCCCCCCCCCCATTCTCCTTGTTGCCCCCCCCTGCTCTGAACGTGCTCCACTTTGTTGGTGTCCGTCTTAAAAGCGTGGTGTCCCGAACTGGCGGCTGGACCCGGCTCCCAAGATCACCCCCTTACCTTTGCAGGTTTTTTCACACCGCCTGGAATTCTGAGTCGCCTGCAGGACTCCCAGAGAGAAAAGAGGCTTTCCTTTCCTGGCTGCCAGAGGAGTGATGATGATAGTGTG